AATCCAATAATTTCAGAAGTTGGAGGAGAATCTTTAAGTTTTTCTAATTTATTTGATGAATTAGCTTCTGGTAAACGAAAGAATGAAGAAGAGCATGTTTTTAAAAAGAAAGAAAAAGCGAAAGAAATGAACAAACGTTTTAATCAAGAATTAGAAACATATTTACATTTACCCCTTAAACAAAGACATAGTGACCTATTTTTGTGGTGAAGTTCAAAAGAACCTTTTCCTAATTTGAGCAAAATAGCTATGAAATATAGCTATAAAATATATGTGCCCCAGCATCTTCCATTGAAAGTGAAAGAATTTTCAACATTGGAGGTAACATTTATGAGCTGACAAGAAATAGGTTATACCCTGAAAATGATGAAATTCTCATGTTTTTGCATTACAATTTAAGGGTTTTACAGTTTGAATATTAAATTTTTATTTGTTTTATATGTTTAAAGTTTAAACTTTAAATAAAAGAGATAGTTTTGAATAAGTTATATTATACCATATAATATGTATCAGTAAAAGGAATAATTTGAATTGTAAAATTTTTTTAATATTTAGTTTGTCATGTAATAAATAATAAATACATAACAGAAATTTATTATTTTTTATTACTAGCATTATACGTAGTATTCTAACAAAAATACCAAATGCAAAATTGGCTGATTATTAAAACCGATTAATCAGCGAAGTGGCCGATACGGCTGATTACATATTACTTACCGATTAATCAGTGCATCCTTAATATTAATGCTTAATGTCATTGTATTATTATTTTATTGAAAGGTTATTGATGTAATTTTATAAATATAAAGCTTATCCTTAATAATAATAATTTTAAATTAAAATATTTATTTTAAAATACTTTTATTTATAGAAAAATATGCAAATGAAGAGTCCTATTTACTGCAAGCAACCTGTAAATGAAGATATCAACTATCCAATACCATCATTATCTACTATAAATGATACGGAAGAAATATCTGAGGTATATATAAATTTTAATAGTGGAAAAATATATGTAAATACAAAGTGTGTTGTAAAATTTTAAAAATTTTAAGGATGATGATGAAATACAACAATCTGAGAATAATAGTGAAGAAGAAATGTATGAATATGAAGAGGAGGCGGAAGAACAAGAGCAACAACCTATTGAAGAGGAGAAAATTTATGAAGAAAATATTAAAAATAATTCAAATTTAAATGAAAGTGAAATGGTAAATGAAGCAGTAGCTATCTGTGAAGAAATTGATGAATTATTAGATGATGCATTAAGTGACTGTGAGTCCAGCAGTAGTACAGAATCACTTGTTCCTGTTAAACAGAGTGCCAACCCAGAGGTAATAAATATATAATTTAGAATGTCTATACTATTTTATAAATTCAAAAATAAAATATTTTAATAATAAAATTGTATAACAAATGCTAAAAATAATAATAATAATTTATTTTAATGTATTATTTTTTTATGTGTAATTTCTTATAAAATAGTATGGAAGAAAGTTAAGTTAAACTGAATTTTTTAAAGGAAAATTCTTGTTATTAATTCGAGTTTTTATTAATTCTTTATAAATATATTTTTGAAGAATTTTAGTTAAAAAATAAATAAATGAAATAAAATTTTTAAGAATCGATAGGATGGAATGAAAAATTCAAATAACATTATACAAAAGAACAAGTGAAGAAGGGGGAAAAAAGAAAATAACTTGATTTTATGTTAGAAAATGAGATTTTTACTTTATTTACAGATAAAAAAAATGCGGTTTTACACTTAAGAAGAGAGTTCAAGATATTTTTTTTACATTATTATAAATAACCTGCAATGAATCCAATATCAGTTATTAGCTAATATAACTGTAAAGAAACCATTTTCTCTCCATTAAAGTACTCTTTGAAGTCCTATAAAATGGCTCCCTTACGTTTGATATTCATGATTACTTGTTAAATTATTATTTGTATTTTATCTAAATTAGTTTAAAATACTTCTTTATTAATTCCTCTACTTGAATTTATAACTTTGAATTGTTAAAAATCAATAATTTCTCTTGATGGTACCTTGATAAAGCTTTTGAAGTCATGTAAGAGAGAGAGAGAGAGATTTCTTTCACGTTATATTTGTAATTATTTATTAAATTATTACTTGTATTTTATCTAGATTACTTTAAAATACTTTATCGTTAACTGCTCGACTTGAATTTAAAATTTAAAATTATAGAATTTTCATTATCTTTTACGAATTCCCCATCATCTTTGCTAGTTTATAACATTCTGAAGTTCAATAAAATGGCTTCATATGCTTTTATATTTGTGATTTTTGTTAAATTATTATTATTTTTTATTTTAATCTAAAATTAATTTCGAATGCTTCTATGTCAATTCTACAGTTTGCATTTATAATTTTAAATTTTTAAAATTGATCATTTCTTCGGAATATCCTCCATTTTAGTACAGTACTTTATGAATGCAAGCTGTAACGCTGAAATTGAGAATAATCAAGAATATAATTGTGTTTTTAATAATCTAATTACGTTTAATTTTATAACTTTAAATTTTATGTATTTTCCTCTGTTTAAATCAGCGTATTTTATTAAATTTTCGTATTCTATATGCACTCTTTCTCATCTATAAACATGGGCAATGTGACAACGCAACACATGGGAGATCTGCTAATGGGGTGCCTCCCAGGAGTTTTTTCTATGGGAAACTGGCTCTTATTTTGGTGTTAAATATAAATATATATAAAACTAAAAAATTTAGAAATTAAAATTCAGAATAAGATTTTTAAAATTTCGTAAATTTTTCTACATTTTTAAAGAAGAAAACTCGTGAAATTTAAGTAAAACTAGAAAATGTATGTCACAGGGAATCTAAAATAGAAGAGAATCAAATGAAAATCTCCGTACAGTGAAGTAATTGTTCGCTAAATGTTTAATTTCCTGACAATTTTCCTGTCATAAATAGATAAAGTACGAATATATTTTTACCTTTATTAATTGCTAAACATCTGCAAAATCGATTATGTTAACTAAACTATGTATATATTTTTTCCAATAGCTACGTGACATATAATTCTTTTAAAGTGATGCATTCATTATGTATTTTGAAGCGATTGTTTGTTTGTCTGCTCGTTTGTTTGACAACCATTCTCAAAAGAAATACTTGGATAATCGAGCTTATTATATAACATTTCTCTAATTGTTGCTCAGAGCAATATTAGAGTTTTCTATGAATTTATTTCTTTCAAAAACTTTGTTCAATCGATATATTTATATATAAAACCATTATTTAATAATATATCCTATAAATAGATTCCTATAAATTGTCTGGATAGATTAGAAAATGTAAAATTAATTTTATAGAAATGTTTTCTGAAATAAATAATTATAATTAAATTAAACCAGGAAAATGTTATATTTATTTAGAAATTAATTAAATTTAGTACTATTGAATTTTAATTGATTTGATTTCCAATTTAGTTGTGTTATTCTTTATTCATTTAAAATATTTGAATTGTATCATTCTAAACACGCACAAACACATATACATAAGCTTATATATTTGAACATACACACTCAATCATACACGTATATCTGCATATACATACTACAACTAGGATCAAATAAATACACATACAAGTACAGTACATATAGACAACAAATACATANGGCATTTTTTGTTCTTGTTATTTGTCATTGCTGAATTTGGTTTGTATACACAACGCGACACGTGGATGATCTACCCGAAGATGTCTCCTGGGAAGTCTTTATGGGAAAACTGGCCCCTATTTAAGTGTTACTAACGTGAATAAAATACGGAAAATTTCACGTGACCAGCCCGTTAGTGAGGCGCGAATCCACCAACAACTATCAGTATTCAGTGGTTTTATCCGTTCGGCTACTGTTGGGTGCCATTGTTTACAAGTTTCGCTGTACTTTATTAGTCACAAACTTTATAGAAATTATTAAAAAAATAATATCTTTCTTGTTCAATATATGAATAATAACAACTAAAAAATTCAGTTTAATAGTTTTACATATGTAGCTGGAATACATAAAATTGGTTAACTGATTTTTGGACCACCCTGTATATATAAGAATTTGAGTTTTTGACACGTTTTCCAGAATTTTGAAATTTCTTTAAAGGTTTTTTTTTTTATTTTTATTAACTGATTTATTAGTTATTCTATTATTTTTAAACATGTTCAATTGATAATTTTGATATGTAAATGAATTAATTTCAGTTTAAATTAATGGAAGTAACGCACTGTCATCGAATATCGAGTTTGAAAAGTTCAAAGTTGTTTGCTTCAAAACAAAATATGTTTATGCATTAATCATTCAAATAATTACAGTAATTGAAATAAAGTGGAAAAATTAAGGTTTATGTTTATTCTGTTTAATTATTTCAAACGAACTAAAATTAATTTGAAAGTTTATACAAAATACATTAATTCATAAAATAATAATAATAATAATAACTACAATATTGAACACACGTCACATTTTTAGAAAATTTCTAGTTGTTGGCATATCTGTATATATAATCGAGACGGGTTGATAATAAAAATAATAATCAGTGCAGAGCCCAAAAGGTTAGAAGTTGAAAATTGAAATTTGGTACACAGTTAGGGTACGTCATGAGAACGCACACTAAAAAGGGATTTTTCGAAATTCCCCCCGGGGGAGAGGGACAGGATTAAGGCTTCGACAATGGAAGTATCAACAATGGAAGTGTTAAGAGAAAGCGACTTGCAAGATTTACAGATACATATGCAGTTTTTTCGTTTTTGCGGGAAATCGAACGTTTTTAACCCATCTAAAAATTAGTCTGGAAACAGGGGGACCTAATTCTTGCATTCTTTGAAAACGGGTAAGATTGACTATAACGTAATAATCTTAATCTTCGCTATCGTTACTTTTTGCTCGAGCAACGCCGGGCCTATCTGCTAGTATACCAATAACACAGAAGCTTAATGTAACACTTTTTTTGGTAGCTATTCCTTGACTTTAGTTTGGCATAACACTTCAAACCAGTATCAGCTGAGCATGACATTTGCAAAAAATAAAGAAATAAAATAATAATAATAATAATAATAATAAAGCTAATCATCTGGATAAAATTGTCTGATTACAGAAAGATTCGCAGAGACACACTGTGTTTACAATTTTCAGTTTTATCGGTTAATTTGGACGTTTTTCAACACCACGCATACCTGTACGACGCAATCATTGTACACAGCTGACGGAGCCGCATCATAGGGCTGAAGGAAGCACAATGGCCGTATTGCCGAATTTTCCGTGTTGTGGATCGTTCTGACCTGAATGGGAGGAGCTACTGGAGTAAGGCACATATAAACGGCAGGCAAACTCTGGTCTCCCAAACAGACCACCTGAAAGTGATTCGTAGTTGTCTCGTGATCAAACTATCACGAGACAAGTACGAACATGGGCGAAATCTTTGTCTACCATCCATCTGTCTCTGGGTGCAGGAAGACAGATTTCCAGTGGCGCAGGAACCATATGTCTTCCTGCCCAGCTAGAAAGTGACTAGTAGCGACAAATTTGCATTCACGGCGATCATTATGCGTCCTGCTCATAGCACCATAGCATCGTCAGTTTCATTTGAAGTTGTACCATGACAGTGAAGCGGGGACTGCTACGAACTGGCAACGTATTGTCTTTAGCGATGAATTCCGATTCTGTTGGACCACATGTTAGAGTGGAGATGACAACTGCTAAGCGCTTCAATACTAGTGGCTCTTGTATTTTCTCTGAGCAGCACTGTGCCCCCATTGCTGGCTTGCTGATCTAACGAGCCATCTTACATCACAGCCGATACGAGCAACATTGAGATACAGCGGTACGATCAAGAAACTCTGCGCTTTTAAATATTGTTTTTCAGATGCAAAGATCTTTTCTAGCAAGAAAATATTCGGCAGAGCATAGCTAGGTTTTCCAGGAATGTCTCTATCATGCTTCCACGCTTCGTTTTCCTGTCCGGTCTCCAGATTTGTTGTCCATCGAGCATTTAAGGAATAAGATGGGACACTAGCATTGGCCATCTGTGTGTGAAAAATATTCACCGATAGTTGTAATATCTATGAGAAAAATTGGTCACAGAATAGCATAATTTTTCAAAAATTTTTATAGGAGATACAAAAAAGAAACAGTATGCCTTAAAAATTTTTACTACATGAGATCCTCGGTTTTACTCAGAATAAACAGAAGGTACTCTCAGAAGGGGCAGATTTAGGGGTTGTGCAAGGTACCCTACTTTGCACAACCCCTAAATCTGTTCCTGCCTGTATATCTCCATGCCAAACCGCATTGCCGCATATATAAAGTTCTACAAAGTGCTAAAGGTTGCTTTAAATTTTACCGTTGTTGCACAGAAAATTGATTCTTTTACTATAATATTGTAATAACTTTATTACCATCGCCATTAAGTTCGCAGCAGTAAAATTTCATTCGATTCCAACGCCTCTTCGTTGGTATGTACTTTTTTTGCTCATG